TTAGATATTTAGAAAAGGTTAATGGCGAAGGAATTGGGTGCTAGGAGATAAGGGACTGAAGAGTCTGCCCAAGGTGCTATAAACTTACCTTTCCATATATCTTCTGGCGTATTCATCATAAGGTGACTGATCATGCTGAGAATGCTCAGAGCGAGGATTTGGCGGTAAATCTTGAGGTGCCTCAGGGCGAGAGTATGGCTGAAGATCTATGCGAGGTGGCTCATGGTGAGAATATGGATCAGATTCTGGATGGGAGGGATCACCAGAATATAGTGGAGGTTCTACCCGAGGTGGCTCGGCGGGTGCAAAACTTTGAAGCGGTTGCCGCGCAGGACAACCACGTCTTTGTATCTTTCTACCATATTCGCAAGCTTGAGAGCGACTCTCAAATCCTAAAATATTTATATTAAATCAAACTTGAATACAGCTTCATTTTAGAGCTTTGAATAAATTCAGAAATCTTTAATCTTTAGAAATTCAACTGCCATTTTTGGTGCAGTTCGACCAGTCCGTCCAATCGCCGAAGCCAATGACCACGGAATCGTTGGCGTTTTCTATAAATAGAACTTCAAAAAAGTTTACATACACTATAGAAAGCGCATCAAAAAGAGTAGGTTAAAAGAATTATCTGATCTCTGTGAAGAACATGCATGCGATTGCAAAGCTCAATTTAATTTATGAATGTTCTGTAAAATGGCAAAATAGAGGCCGCTACTTAAATTTGAAAAAAAAAAAAACAACAGAAAAGCCTTTAAAGAATTTTTTAGACGTTATTTTCAAAATAGAATGTTTGCTCATGCAAGTAACCAAGAGGCTTTCTAAATATTTTAAAATCAATAATTTCACTTTGGCGCTTCGAAACTCCAAATCAGTTTAATGATCCACTGAACTAGAGATGGAAGAGAAAGCTGCCAGAAATAGAAGACAAGGCAAATGTAAATAACATTCTAAAGCGGATTTTTATTATGAAAGAAATAATTAGGTGTGCAATTGGATGATCAGCGGAAAGCTACCCACTGAAGAGAAGAATACCTAGTACTGCGCTTGGCAAGCATAGCTTACGTCGTTTTTTGCGATCGACCTTATCCGTCGATGTCACTAATTCATCCTCCTCTAATGGCGGAAAACTGTCGAATTTATGACAGTTTGGTGCAAGTTCCAGCATTCGTACCACATCATCTCCATTTTCAGGATTTTGTTTCACAAGATTTGCCTAAAGATAAAGAGTTTGAAAGAATTTGTGCCAAGAGAAGGTAGAAGGCACCTTTTCATGAAGAGAGTTGTGCT